ATCAGCCATGTGGGAGTCCAGTAATGTAACCATTACATCATTTACTGGCCCCTAAATCATTATTCTAAAATCTATTTTGGATGTGGGATTGTCCTTTTTACTTGTAATAGAGATCAGTTTCTACTGCTTTTTTTTTTTTTTTTTGGAGAGATTTTCACTGTAGGGCGCGTGCGCTTGCCAGACAGACAGAGAGAGACAGAGAGACAGAAAGCGAGAAATCACGCCCCAGGGGGGATGGTCACGCCACAATCCCTTCTCCTCCATTCTCCTCTCGGGATCTTGGGCACGCACGCACACGCGCCCAGCGTGAGTTTTAAGCCACCGGGTCCGGGACACGAACCACGGTCGACTACGTGGGAGTCCAGCGACATAGCCATTACACTGACTGCTGGTTCCCTACTGCATTATTTTTTGAACAGTCCATACTTGTCCTTTATTAGATTCTAGTTTTTTATATCCATGGCATGCCTGTTTATAAGGTACAGGTATGAATATACTTGTTTGGTGTGCCTACATATTCTGTTTGTGTAGCTTTATCTGTTGTATTTTTCACATGGTATGCACTCCATGCTTACCATGGACGAGTTTCTGGATTCTGTCCTGTTCTACTCCTGCTTCAGTGCCTCTATAGCTTAATATACTAAAGGGCAAGGCCCTATTTGTTACTCTGTCTTTTCAGAAATTAACTGACTGGTATTTCTTTTTATTTCTGAATCATTTTATTAACTCCTGTCTCCCAAAAAACACAATTGGAATTGGGTTGAGGGTATTGATTAATTTGAGAATAATTCGCTTGTATGTTCTCTGATCCTTTTGAGGAGGAAATTATATTTTGTTTTTCTTTTATGTCTTTTAGTAGTGTTTGGAATATTCCTTCATGTTAAGTCATACAATTTTCTCATTAGTGTGATTCCCAAGTATGGTAGTATAAATCTTGAAGAAGAAAAAATTTAATAAAACTCTTAAAGATTGGATTATTTCAAAAGGAAACAGTGTATAATCCCAGTTGCTTGGCAACCAAAGCCAGCCTAAATGACCTACTTTATTTGGAGATAGCCTTGATTTCTTCTAAGTACTCTCTTCGTTTTGTTGCTTTCATACAGTTTTTATGACTTGATGTTTGGTAAGATATAGTGTTTTGTTTTTAAATTCAAAGTCCTATGCCAAACGAAGTCAAAATTGAAGTTACCAGTTTGCACAAATAAAAGTGCCTTGTCTGTTTATTCTGACCATTGCAGGAAGCTTATTAGTGTTTCATTCTCTTTTGTTCTCTGAAAAGCCGGATAGGCCAAAATATGAACGGTACGTTCACACCTTATATACATACTTACCAGTATTTTCACACCTTACATACATACTTACCATACAGGAGAATATAAAATTATTTTGTCGTCTTGATTTTAAAAAAGAAATTACAATTACAAAATTTAGCTTCTATTCTGAAGTGCACTATTTTTTTTTTTTTGAAGAGGTTTTCGCTGTAGGGCGTGTGCGCTCGCCAGACAGACAGACAGAGACAGACAGAAAGTGAGAAATCACCCCCCAGGGGGGATGGGCACGTACGCACACGCGCCCGGCGTGAGTTTTAAGCCACCGGGTCCGGGACGCGAACCGCGGTCAACTACGTAGGAGTCCAGCGACATAGCCATTACGCTAACTGCTGGTTCCCCTGAAGTGCACTATTTGAGAGATGGTTGTGTTACTGGCAATCATTATTGGACAAGTTTTTATTTCTTTTTTTTAAAAAAAGGATTATTTATTTAAATTGTCAGTATTATTATTATTATTTTTTATTTGACCAGAGAGACAGTAAGAGAAGGAAAGCTCTAAAGCAAGCCACCAGGTCTGGGACTCAAATCATGGTTGGCTACGTGGGAGTCCAACTTCATAACCACCATGCCACCTGCCACCCCCGACAAGATTTTTTTTTTTTTTTGGACTATAGGAGTTTGTAAATTTGCGACAAAGTTAACTGTTGAAGGATTTTCTCTAAGGAAAACGTTTCTAGAAACCAGCAGATGTCGTAATGGTTACACTACTGGACTCCCACATAGTTGACTGTGGTTCAGATCCCAGACCCAATGGCTTAAAACTCAAATGCTGAGGGTGTGTGTGTACATGCCCAAAATCTCTTGAAAGGAGAATGGACGGAAAAGGTTTACAGTGTGGCCATCCCTCCTGGGGATGATTTCTCGTTTTCTGTCTCTGTCAAGCACTGTAGCGTACTGTAGCAAAAATCTATCCTTAAAAAAAAAAAAAAAGAAAATGTTTCTGGGACCAGCAGTTAGCGTAATGGCTATGTCGCTGGACTCCCACATAGTTGACTGCGGTTTGAGTCCTGCACCTGGTGGCTTAAAACTCATGGCCGGCACGTGTACGTGCGTGCCCAAGATCCCGAGAGGAGAATGGAGAAGGGATTGCGGCATGGCCATCGCCCCCACCCCCACCCCCACGGAGTGATTTCTCATTTTCTGTCTCTCTGTCTCTCTCTGTCTTTTTGGTGAGCGCACGCGCCCGATAGCATAGCAAAAACCTCTCAAAAAAGAAAGAAAAAGAAAATGTTCCTTGGGAACAGCAGTTAGCGTAATGGCTATGTAGCTGGACTCCCACGTAGTCGACTGCTGTTTGCGTCCGGAACTCAGTGGCTTAAAACTCACGCCGGGTGCATGTGCGTGCGTGCCCAAGATTCCGAGAGGAGAATGGAGGAGAAGGGATTGCGGTGTGACCATCCCCTCTGGGGGGTGATTTCTCACTTTCTATCTCTATGTCTCTCTGTCTGTCTGGCGAGTGCACGTGCCCTATAGCGAAAACCTCCCCCCCAAAAAAAAAAAAAAAAAAGAATTGAAAACGTTCCTTAAAAAAATCTCTTGGGTGGACAGCAGATGGCATGATGGTTATTTTGGTGGTCTCCCACATGGGCAACCGTGATTCGAGTCCCAGACCTGGCGGCCTCAAACTGACGCTAAGGACATGTGCTTGAGTGCTCAAGATCCCAGGAGGAGAAGGGATTTTGGCATGGCCATTTCCCCCAGGGGATGATTTCTTGCTTTCTGTCACTCTCTCGCAAGCCCACATGCCCTTTAGCAAAAATCTCTCTTTAAAAAAATCTCATCAGAGCAGCAGGTGACACGGCAGCTGAACTGCTGGATTCCTACATGGCTGACTGTGGTTCAAGTCCTGGACCTGGTGGCTTGAAAATCACAACAGATACATATATAAATAAATACTGGTTTTGATTTTGTTTTTTAAGTCTCATCAGATTGGGCCCAGTTGTGGTGGAGTAGCAGTAGTGTCTCACTATTTAGTGCTAGAGTCTATATGGAAGTTTGTGGTTCGGTTCCCCTGTCTGATCTATATGTGCCAGCTATGTACACATGTGTCTGTGATCCTGGCTGGCCAAAATGACCAGGAGTTGAGTGGAGATTGATGGCATTAAAACATGTGGAGGGTGCTTGTTTGTCTCTGTCTCATAGGAAAAATAAAGAAACAAAAAAAATCAAACTGAACAATTAATATCTGTGCATTTATTGCATATTGGAGTATTACCTTAGCCTTTGCTTTTCCAGTCATATTACTATGATTTACTTTATTAATAATTAATATAATCATGTGTCACTTTTATCATCCCTTTGTCACATCTTTTTTTTTAGATTTTATTCAACTTCATTTATTTATTTATTTATTTATTTATTTATTTGACCAGAGAGGGACAGAGTGAGAGAGGAAGTGAGGAGCCTCTTCATGGTTGTTTCTGTGTCCTTTGACTTGTCTCTGTGATTCATTGAACAGTTGTGTGCATTCTGGCCAAAAAATGAGAGCTTACTAAAACAAAAATGTTTTGGAACCAGCAGTTGGTATAACAGCTTTGTCGCTGGACTCCCATGTAGTTGACCGAGGTTTGAGTCCCGGACCTGGTGGCTTAAACTCAGCGTCAGGCGCATGTGCGTGCATACCCAAGATCCCGAGAAGAGAATGGAGGAGAAGGGATTACATCGTGGCCATGCCCCCAAGGGGGTGATTTTTTGCTTCTCTCTCTGTCTTTCTGGTGAGCACACATGCCCTAGTGAAAAACCTCTCCAAAAAAAAAGTTATATACTTACCTTGTTCTTTCTCTACCCCAGCTCTAGAACCAGCCATTTATTCATTCATTTTTAGTTTTTTGCCATAAGGCACACATTTTTGCTTAAAAAAGACAGGGAAAGTGAGAAATCACCCTCCTCCTCTCCAGAGCAATCCATTTTTCCTCCATTCCCCTTTTGGGATTTCGGGCATGTGTTTGCACATTCCCGGCATGGACATGATTTTCATGCTGCTGGGTTGGAGCTCCGACTGTGGGTAGCCATATAAGAGTCCAGCATCTTAACCACCACACCACCTGCTGTCCCCAAACCAGCCATTTTAAAGCATGCCCTAGTTCCTTTTAGTAGAAAATATTTACAAGCACTAACCCCATGCTAGTCTGTCACCTTGTTGGAATGCCTGCCTTGTCTCTTTTAGACTCTGTTCATATCTCATTTTCTTCAGCTTGGGCAACCTACCCAGTAGAGCTCTGCTAAATCTTCTTGGCCTGTGATACCCTAGGCCAGGCCACTACTCAACACTGGCCATATCACCATTCCCCCCCCCACACACACACACACGTATTTGATCTTGTTTAGGCTCAGATTCCCCTTTCCGGGCAGCCCTACCACAGTAGATGCTCTCCTTTCTCTGGTTCTGAGGCTCCATACCAGTATGCCTTCCTGTTCCCACTCTTGAATGCCAGTTTCTGTTTTCCTCCATGTATGCACCTATTTTATGCCATCCAGTAGCAACTGTTGAAAACACTGTGTCACTGTCATAAGAAGGCATGTCTTTGACTCTTGATAAATAGGCTGTATGTGTCTAGATCAAGTAGATTTTTAAAATTTGACTACATTCATATTGTTTTATATCAACTAATATTTTAGGATTCATCTAATGCTTCAAAATAATCAGTTTTTATTTGGATTGTTCTGCAGAGAGCCCAAGCTGCACTGCAGGCTGTCAGTGCTGTCCAGTCAGGAAGCTTGGCCCTTCCTGGAGCCCCTTCCAGTGAAGGCCCAGTCCTACCTGGGCAGAGCCCTGTACTTCGAATAATTATTGAAAACCTCTTTTACCCTGTTACTCTGGAAGTTCTTCATCAGGTAAGAAGGGTCTTCCTTCTGAAAGCAGTTCAAAAGTAGCCTTTGCAATTTTTGATGTTTTTTAATCTCAAGTTTTCAGGTTACTAGCTTTTGGTGAAAATATTTGATATATTTGTTTACCGATTAAAAAAACTTCACTAACCTGCTTTATACCTAACATAGTATTAATGTGAGAGAACTTTTGATAGTCCCCTTCCTCTAATTTGAACACCTAATTTAGAAAGTTATGTCATCTTAGAATTAAAACTATTTCTAGGGCTGCAAAGAGAATACTGATTTAATGTGGTATGATTCTGAGGATGTATGTATGTCTGGTTTCAGAGAGTTTTTTTATGCTAAAAATGTTTATATGTATAGCTGTGTGTATGTGAGAGAGAGAGAGAGAGATTGGCAGAGGAAGAGAGAGACACACGCATCAAAAAAGATTTTTTTATAAAAAACATTTGTATTTGATCTTTTAATTTAAATCTCAGAGACATTGGCCACTGCTTGTTCATAATAGTTTTTATAGCCAACAAAATAAGATAAGAAACAGATGAGGGGGCTATCAGGTGGTATAGCAGTTACGCCCCTGGAATCCCACGTAGCCAACCATGGTTGAGTCCTGGATCCTGGTGGTGTGAAACTCATGCTGGGCATGGGTGTGTGCATGCACAAGATTCTGGGAGTAAAAAGGCCTTCCCCTGAGGGGTAATTTCTCACTTTCCTCTTACTGTCTGTCTCTCCCTCTTCCTCTCCCTCTTTGGTGAGCATGCGCTCCCTAAGAGAGTAACCTCAAAAAAAAAAAAAACAATAAATTTGGGATATCATTAGTGGAAGATGTTGACTAGATAATTCAGAAATAAGTCTGGATTGAGAGGAAGAATTTCAGCTAGAGATTTGATACTGTCAGCATATGAGCGTATGTGTGGTAATTAAAGCTACAGGACTAGCTGGAATCATCTGAAACTATTTGTAGATAAAGGGAGAATTCATTTACTATTATGTAAACTCAGTTTCTTTGTGCACTAAAGAGATAGCTCATAAGGGTGATCTCATGTAATTTATCACCTCCAGATACTAATATACAGAGGAGTATTCTGTTAATGTTCAGTAGATTCTTTTCTTCATGACAAAGGAAACCTGTTATTTTTTTATTTATTTTTTTTTATTGAGAAGTTTTTGCTACACGGCACATGTGCTCACCAGAAAGTCAGACAGACAGACAGAAAGTGAGAAATCACCTCCCAGCGAGGATGGCCAGCCACGCCACAATCCCTTCTCCATTTTCCCCTTGGGATCTTGGGCATGCACCGGCATGAGTTTAACTCAAAACAGGCAGTTAGCCATGGAATCCATCCACTTTAACCACCACACCATTGACTGGCCCCCAGGTTGTATTTATAAAAGTACACTAGTTTAATATTTTTGTAAGATTTATCCTAATGTGAACTTTTTTCCAGATATTTTCTAAATTTGGCACAGTCCTGAAGATTATCACCTTTACAAAGAATAATCAGTTTCAGGCATTGCTTCAGTATGCTGACCCAGTGAATGCACATTATGCCAAAATGGTAATTATCATCTGTTTTCACCTTTCAGTTGTTAATTGAAAACTGAAGAAAGTAATCATGTCTTCTCTAATGCTTCAGTTTATCCTTGTTTTTAATTGTCGTAAAATATACGTCATAATGTTTAACCATTTTAACCATATTAACCATATTTAAATGTCAATGTATTCTTTTTTCCTGACCTAAAAATTACTTCTTTTTTCATATGAAATTGTTTCAAATCTCGTCACTTCTCAGATCTCTGAGACTCATTCTTGTTTGCCATGTGTAAAGTGTCGAGTGGAGCACAGTTCTCTGGATGTATTCTGATTATTAGAGTTATCTGTGCCTCTGTGCCCTCATTTACTTATATTAAATCAGCATGATTGATTTCAGTATGTTTGCAACCATGTTCAGCTTAGACCTGTTGAGATTTAAATTGGTGAAGAAATTAAATCTTAATAATATGCTGCTGTCATTGATGTTTTTTTTAAGGACATGAGTCCTTGACTTTTTTTAAGATACAGAACTTGACATTTAATTTGGTTATGTTAGAAACATCCCTTATTGAGAGCTTTCTCTGACCCCTGATGCTGTCTTGTCTTGTATCTGAGTCATTGCTAATTTCTATTTAATGGTAGGGACTGTGGTGTACTACACAGTGTCTTGCTTTTTTTTTAAATTTGCCATGAAGACTGACCTCTCCAGATACAGAGAGACATCACCTAGAGGGAGTGGCCAATGTTGCAGTCCTTTCTCCTCCATTCTTGTCTCAGGATTTTGGGTGTGCAAGTGTATGCAGCTGGTGTGTTTTTCATGTCACTGGGTCTGGGACTCCAATCACACAGTTCGCTGTGTGTAATCCAGCTACTTTAAGCACCACACCATGGGCAGGATTATTTTTTCTTTCCCTGTGCTTACTGTTCAGAATATTATTGGGTCATCTGAAAAGTCATGATGTTTTTTCCTGTGTTTTTCTATGCAAAAATGCACTATGACTTTTCTGAAAATTGACTATAAAGTAAATTTACAAGAGAAAAAAATGTGACAGGTAATATTTTTATATAAGGTACCTTTTCAAGTACGGTTTATAAGGATTTTGCTACATCCTTATATGCTAAAATGAATTAAGATAAAATATAAAAGTATCTTTAAATATTTGTTAGAAGTAAAACAGTTATAATAATATCTAGTATTTCTATAATATATGTGTTTCTCCTTGTTAGATCTTAACACAGATAAATAGGTATTGTACTTATTTTACTGGTAAAATCTGAGACTTAAGATTTTCCTTTCTTAATATTTTATTTATTTATTTTTAAGTCTATTTATACATTGCAAGAGAGAGAAGGAGAGCTAGAGTTGTAGCACCCTTGAGGGGACCCAGTGCCATAATCCACCCCTAGCTTCAGCCATGATCATGGATACGTGCATGCCCAATATACTTAGGCAGGTCTTTAGCCTTTTACTGGCAACTTTCCTGAGTGGGTTTGCTTTGCAGAGCATTAGATTTTACCACTGCATCACCCTCCAGACCCTAGAGATTTTCTTTTTCTTCCTTAGACTCCTGTGATTAGTGAGAAAGATGTAAGTAAATTCAATCTTTGACTTTTAGTTCAGTGTATTCTGCTTTACACTTAATCGCCACTCTCTGTCAGGGTAGAGGCTACATGATTTATCAGTGTGTTGTCTTGCCAAAATATCAGTCACTTTCTCACATGCTTTAGGCTCTGGATGGCCAGAATATCTATAATGCATGCTGCACCCTGCGTATTGACTTCTCCAAGCTCACCAGCCTTAATGTGAAATATAATAATGACAAAAGCAGAGACTTCACTCGCTTAGACCTTCCTACTGGTGATGGCCAGCCATCCCTTGAATCCCCTATGGCTGCTGCTTTTGGTGAGTATTTTTTGTGGGGGGTCAAAAAGGAACTTATCTGAGGTTGTAAGTTTCACTTACTAATCTATGTACATCAGTCGGGCTCTTTCTTCTTGGATTCTCAAGATATCTAAAGGAAAGGAGTAATTGAAAAATGTGCCTGTTAATCAGATCTTAGTATTGAAAAGTTCTGTTGGCAGACCAAGCAGATATCTGAAATAGAGTTAAAAATTTATTTTTCAATATTGATAATCATCCATTCTTCATAAGATGCACACCTGTTAGCATTAGATTAGGAGTCTTACATACTAACATTGATTAACATAAGTTTATAGCTAAGAGAATTTTGTCATATGATGCGCTTAAGAAAAATAGTTTTTTCCCTTTTCAAGTAGTGATATTTTGTTTATTTAATTATTTAATTACCAGAGAACACATGAGAGAGATGGAGAAGTTGAGAGGGAGACTTCATTCCCTTCCCCTAGAGGAATGTGGTCATGCTGTAATCCCTTCCACATTTCTCCATCTTTTGGGGATTTCGAATATACAGCGTACATTTGCTTAGTCTGTTTTTCAAGCCACTGGGCTGGGATTCAAACAGCTGTTGGCTTTGTGGGATAGGATTCCCTTACTTGCTAGGCTATGAGGCTAGCCTAGGTTCTGACATTTTAAAATCAAAAGCCTAAATTAATGGGATGGTCTTTCTTTATTCAAAGAAGATAATTTATTTTGTTTTGTTTTCTAAACATTAGAAATTTTATCTTCATCCTTTCTGAGTTTTTTTCTATAGGGCACATGCACTCACCAAAGAGACAGAGTGGGAAATCACTCCCGGGGGAGGGTGGTGGCCACACTACAATCCCTTTTCCTGCATTCTCTTCTCAGGGTCTTCGGCAAGCACACCTATGTACCTGGTGTGAGTTTAAGCCACCAGGTCCAGGACTCGAGCCATAGTCGGCTACATGTGAATCCAGCGACGTAGCCATTACGCCAACTGCTGGTCCCACCTTGATTTATTATTTTAATTTGACCAGAGAAAGACACACAGAGAGAAGGGAAGTGAGAAAGCAAGCCACCGGGTCTGGGACTTGAACCATGGTCAGCCATGTGGGAATGTCAGTGCCTTAACATCCACGCCACCTGCTGGACCTTATACTCTTTTGAGAGGTTTTTCACTGTAGGGCGTGTGCGCTCGCCAGACAGAAAGACAGAGCCATAGAGACAGAAAGCAAGAAATCACCCCCCAGGGGGATGGTCATGCCACAATCCCTTCTCCTCCATTCTCCTCTCGGGATCTTGGGCACGCACGCACACGCGCCCGGCGTGAGTCCTAAGCCACCGGGTCCGGGATGCGAACCGCGGTCGACTACGTGGGAATCCAGCGACATAGCCGTTACGTTAACTGCTGGTTCCCCTGGACCTTACCCTCTTGTACTTTTAAATAGCTCTGTTATTTTGACTAGTATCTTGTCATAGTTTATTTAATCATTATCCTATTTGGACATTAAGTGGTTTTTTCAGGATTTTTACATTACAGATAACAATGTGATTAGCTTTTTTTGTAGATAAAAATGTTTATCTGTTGGTTAAGCAGGACTGGCGGTGGAGGTTGAGGTGCTGGATCCTACATGGCCGACTGTGCGGTTCCAATCTTGGGCCCAGCGATTTGGGGATCACTCTGGGCATGTGTGCTTGCATGCCCAGAATCCTGAAAGGCTAGGGGAGAGGGGATTGCGATGTGACCATGGATGATTTCTCACTTTCTGTCTGTTTCTCTCTGGGGAATAAACACCCTATAACAAAACTCTTTTTTTAAAAAAATGTTATTTGTTAATTTTTATCTTGACTGTTTTCATTACATAAATTTTCCAGATGTAAAATATTTGGTTTTGGTCATTCATTTCTTAAACCTTTTTTTTTAGAGGTTTTTGCTGTAGAGCATGTGCACTCACCAGAAAGACGGAGACAGAGAGACAGAAAGCGAGAAATCACCCCCCAGGGGACGATGGCCACACCACCATCCCTTCTCCTCTATTCTCCTCTCAGGATCTTGGGCGCACACGCACCCGGCGTGAGTTTAAGCCACTGGGTCCGGGACTCGAACCGCAGTCAACTACATGGGAGTACAGCAACATAGCCATTATGCTCACTGCTGGTCCCATAAACCTTTTTCTTAAAGATTAATTAATCTCTTCATAAAAGAAAGATATGAAACTATTATATAATAGCTTACTTTCCTGAAATGTTTCTATTTCTGTTAGGGAGCGTAGATTTATAAAAACTTGAAAAGTTATTTTATCAAGTTTTAACAAATATTAATCATACCATATGTGGAAATAGCTTTCGCTAGTTTTTAAATTTATCTGTATTGACTCTTCTGTGATACTTATCTCAAACTTTTTCCTCTTATCTCTAAAATCTACTGCTAGTCTTGTGCCTCCCCCTCTTCCCATAGCCATCTGGATTAGTCACTTTCCTGTGCTTCTTTCTCCTTTTCCTCCATCATTCCAAATCAGTGATTTATAGATTTCTTTCACATGCTGCCTTCAACATTTTTGTTTTTTCATCTAGGACCCATGCTGAAGATAACACTGCTATTTGAGACATGGCATTCTTGTAGAGAGTAGAGTATTAAGAGACCAGCAGTTAGCGTAATGGCTATTTCTCTGGACTCCCATGTAGTCAACCGTGGTTCGAGTCCCGGACCTGGTGGCTTAACTCACACCGGGCGCGTATGTGTGTGTGCCCCAAGATCCCGAAGAGAATGTAGGAGAAAGGATTGCGACATGGCCATCCCCCCTGGGGGGAGATCTCTCGCTTTCTATCTCTCTCTGTCTTTCTGGCGAGCGCACGCGCCCTATAGCAAAAACCTCTCCAAAAAAAAAAAAAAAAGAGAGAGAGAGAGTAGAGTATTAATAGAAGAACTGGCATAAACCCATATTTCCTGTTAAAGCTAATGTATAGCGGTTGCATATGTCATTTCTGTCTAGTCTTTGGCAAAAAACGTTGACATAGTCAAGCCCCATGTGAATTCCATAGAGGAAATGTGTGCATTGGCCACAGTTACACATGAAGGGGGCAGTGAATACTTGACAGTAAAGGTACAGTCTATCTCCTTTACTAATTAGGTATTCTAGCATAAACTTTCATAATTGGCATCAGCTGGTGGCATGGAGGTTAAAGGTGGCTGGATTACCACATGGCTGACTATGCAATTCAAGTCCGTGACCCAGTGGCATGAGAAATACACCAGGCACATTTGCATGCATGGCCCTTTACCCAAAGGGATGGAGAATTGAAGGAACTGCAGCATAACCATTCTCGTTGGGGAGTCAGGTGCTTTCTCACTTTTTCTGTCTTGTTGTCTTTTTTTTTTTTTAATTGCCAGAGAGTATATGTGCTCCCCAGAAAGAAAGCGATAAGAACCCCCCAATGGGTGTGGTCACGTCCCATTCAGTTTTCTTCCATTTCCCCATCCTGTGAGGATTTGAGGCACACATGTGACTGTTATGTTTTTCGAGTTGCTGTTGTCAAGATTCTAGCTGGATTCCAATCTATATGCACAGTATTTAACCTGTGCACTGCAAGACTGGCCCATTTGTATATGTCTTTAATCCTATTCTACTCTGTCCCGTTCCTTTTTTTTTTTTTTTTTTTTTTTGAGAGGTTTTTGCTATAGGGCACGTGTACTCGCCAGACAGAGAGAGAGAGACAGAAAGCGAGAAATCACCCCCCAGGGGGGATAGCCATGCCGCAATCCCTTCTCCTCCATTTTCCTCTCGGGATCTTGGGCACGCACGCACATGTGCCCAGCGTGAGTTTAAGCCACCGGGTCTGGGACTCGAACCGTGGTCGACTACATGGGAGTCCAGCGACATAGCCTTTACAGTAACTGCTGGTCCCTGTCCTGTTGCTAATGACAGATTATATCTGAAACTGGATTTTTTAAAAAAGAATTATTTATTTAATTGTATTATTCTTCAGTTTTATCAGGGACAGAGAGAGAAAGAGAATGCAAATGAGCTGCCAGGTCTGAGACTCGAACTGTGGTCAGCCATGTGGAAGTCTAGCTCCTTAACCACCATGCCACCCCACCCCGAAACTGGATAATTTTCAAGGGTAGAGGTTTATGGGCTCCATGGTGTAGCAGTGAGGCACTGACTGCTCAAGAGAAGCCGAATCCCACAGTAGGGATCCCACTGCAGGGATCTGACTGCAGTTCAGATCCCTGGCCTGTTCAGCCTGAAACATACACAGTAGTGTCCAACATCTGACTGACTGGAAGACTAGAGGAAGGGAATTGAGGTGTGACCAGACCCAGTGGAGGGTAGTATGTCTCTCTCGTGTTCTTTCTATCTTCTCCCTGCATGTGTGTTGTCTATTGTGGGGGGAAAAAAAAAAGACATAAAAGAATATAGGTTTCTTCAGCTCTGTGTGAGGACCATGATCCAAGGCTACAGTGTGACAGAAGGTGGTAACGCGTGCATCTGTGTCCTGGTGACTGGTCTGGTCTTATTACCTCTCTTTACAAACTCACCAGGAATCAAATATGGGAGTTCTGCCCTGATGTCTTTAATCTTGATGTCTGAGATGTCCCACCTTTCCTCACAATAGTCAGATTAAGTTCCCACCCTCTTAATCCCATCACAATGAAGTCCCAATACATCAAATTTTAGGAGACATTCAAAATATATATATTAATAGCAAAACCTTTATGTTAAATCTTCCTTTATGCCTTAAATATCATTCTTTCTATTATAAAAATGAATAATTCTATCTATGATCTCTAGACAACTTGAATGGAAATTTAGGAAGGGCAGAGATCTTTATCTATTTTGTTCAGTGGTTCCTCACCAGAATGTTTTTCTGCTTTTAGTATGTATTGGGTCATTGGAAAAGTCATGATGCATTTTTGTATAGAAAAACAGAAAAGTACCTCATGACTTTTCTGATTACCCAGTATTTGTTGAGTTGATTTTAGCCTCCCCTTGTTATTTCATCACTTATTGTCAGTCATTTTGTATTTTCATGTAATGTCAGTTTTCTCTGTTAGTTTTATCTCTCCCATCTCTTATGACTGTATTTTCTTGAATTACTATAACAAATTAATTATATGGGGGCCAGCTAGTGGCCTGGTGTTTGAGGCGACTGAATCCCACAGCCAACTACGTGGTTCGAGTCCCATGCCTGATGGAAACAGGCACATGTGTGCATGTGCACAGTCTTGAGAATGGAGGAGAAGGAATTGAAATATGGCCATCCCACCTAGGGGATGATTTCTCACTTTCCCTTTCTCACTTTCTCTCTCTGGTGAACATGTACAATGTGTAGGAAAACTTTTTTAAAAGTTATATTTAAACATTTATTAAATTGTTATATACCTTTTTTAAAGAATTATTTTAACTTTATTTACTTCCTTATTTATTTTACTTTGACCAGAGAGGGACAGTGTGGGAGAGAGAAAGAAAGAAAGTGAGAAAGCAAGCTGCCAGATCTGGAACTCGAATCGCTGTTGGCCATGTGGGGTCCAGCACCCTTAACCACCATGCTAAATTGTTATATACTTTAATGGCGGAATACATTTATATGAGCTTTTAACTACTTTGGGATATAGTTTATGTACTTCTGCCTATAAATAATCCTCATCTCCCTATCATTAAAAAGCAAAGCTTGGAGAGACCAGAAGTTAGTGTGGTGGTTGAGGTGCTGGACACTCACACATGGCCGACCATGGTTCGAGTCCCGGATCTGATGGTTTGCTTTCCTACTTTCCCTCTTCTTTCTCTGTCTCTCTCTCTGGTCAAATTAAAATAAATGAACGAATAAATAAATTAAATAGATCATTCTTAAAAAAAACCAAAAAACAAAAATAAAGCTTAGGGACCAGCAGGTGGCGTGGTGGTTAATGCACTAGATTCCCATGTGGCTGGTCATGGTTCAAGTCCTGACCTGGTGACTTGGAACTCATGCTGGGTGTGTATGCATGCATGCATGCCCAAAATCCTGAGAGAAGAAAGGATTGCAGCGTGGTCACTCCTAGGGAGTGATTTCTCACTTTTTCTCTTTGTTTCTCTCTGGGAAGCATGCATACCCTATGGTAAAAACTTAAAAAAAAAAAAAAAAAAAAGGCAAATAAAAAATCCAGAAAACTTTTCCCTCCAACTGTTGTCATTTTTTCCCCCTATTTTTAAGGCTGTCCTCTTTTTTTCTATAAATTACTCCTTTTCCTTCTACCGTATAACTGTACTGAGATCCCCACCGTGTAACTGTACTGAGATCCCCAGGCTCTATCTTCAGCTGACTTCATTTCTTTCTTATGCCTTTTTTTTTTTTTTTTTTTTTTTTTTTTTGGGGGTTTTTCCAATTAGGGCGCCGCCAGACAGACAGAGACAGACAGACAGAAAGTGAGAAATCACCCCCCAGAGGGGATGGTCACGCCGCACTCCCTTCCTTTCCATTCTCCTCTCGGGATCTTGGGCACACACGCACACGCGCCTGGCGTGAGTTTTAAGCCACCAGGTCTGGGATGCAAACCGTGGTCGACTACGTGGGAGTCCAGCAACATAGCCATTACGCTAACTGCTGGTTTCCTCTTATGCCTTTTTTAGCGGAGCACTTGTTTGTATGATTTTCACATTTATGTCTACATGGAAAAATTGTTTATTTACTGGAAATTATTCTGAGTTTACCCACTTTTTTCCACTTGGAAGCATTTGTGTTACCATCATGTCAAACTTGACATACCCTAACCCAAGTAATTGTTTTTCCACTAGAACTGACTCCACTATGAACTAATTATTGTTTTTAACACACAGTCATGAACTTTTTTCTTTTTTAAAGAATTGTTTTATTCATCATTATTTTTATTTTAAAAATATGACCAAAGAGATAGAAAGATAGAGAGAAAGTGAGAATGCAAGCCATCAGGTCCTGGAGTTGAACCTCTGTATCTTGTTACTTCATTTTGCTTTGCTGTCTTTAATAACCAAATACCAGAGACTGGGTAATTTTTCAAGGATAGAAGTTTGGCTTCAGCCATCCTAGTAGCATAGCAGTTAGAGAAACCATATCCTGTGTGACAGTAGAGGTATGATTTTGGCTGCAGACTTGAAAAGCATACCAGTCGTGTGTGCCCCAAATCCTGATAGGTTAGAGCAATGGCGGAAAAGGAATTGCTACATAACCATGCTCCATTGACTGGTGCTTTCTCTCTAGTGAGTTCACCTGCCCTCTGGCAGTTGAAAGAATAGAGATTTATCTAGCTCATCGTTTTCACTGTCTTATGGCAAGGGACTCCATCTGGTGAGAACCTTCTTACTGGGTTGAGATGCTCTGCTGATGGTAAAGCATTGCATGGTGGGAGAGCAAAAGCTGTGTTCATGTGTCTATGTCGGTATCGTCTCTGGTCTCAGTCCCTCTTTATAAACCCGCAAGTATTCAGTCTTGAGCGCCTGGCCCTGATGACTTTGATTGTAATCACCTTCCAAATGTTCTACCTCTTAATTTGAAGGATTAAGTTTTTAAACAAGTATTTGATGATTTTTTTATATAGAAACAGTGCTCTAAGTAAGCACAAAAATCTCAGCCTAATACAAAACTAAGTCATAACTAAGTTGTAATCTTGCTTATTGGACTAGCTGAAAGGGAGGGGTTAGCTTCTGGAAATGGCAGAGACTTTACTTGCTACATTAAGGCTCACCTGTTGATCAAATTTTTACTTACTAATAGAAATAACCATAGAAGACACTTATCTGTATTTTGTATTGCTTTGATAACCGTATTTATAGATGGTAGAATATTTATTTTAGCTTCTCTTCTCCATTAGGTGCACCAGGTATAATTTCTTCACCATATGCAGGGGCTGCAGGATTTGCCCCAGCCATTGGATTTCCTCAAGCTCCAGGTGACTTTGTGTGTGTGTGTGTGTGTGTGTGTGTGTGTGCATTTGTGTGTTTTGCTGTTTGGTTTTTGGTGAGGTACAGTATGGTTTTTACAACATGCATACAGTGTGTAATTATGAAGTCATGGTGCAAGTGGCTCTCTGGAAATTAAATTTTAAATTATTTTGAATGAAATTCTCAATTTTCCAGGAACTTAACAGGATGAAAAATGTTATATTTAAAAGATTTATAATAAAAACAGTATGCACAGCAATTGTATTTGTGACTCATATGGTAAACCCCTTTCTTTTATGTACATGTAATTCTCTCTGGTTCCATTCTTCAGTGATTTCCTATGTTCTGCATCATTCACAACTTATCATTGGCACAGAAAATTAAAGGTTGACAACATTAACCTTAGGTTTGCCGTTTCAGTTATATAAAATATGTGAGTTGCTCATGTCTTTGCTGATGAGTTTGCCCATTATGTATTGAACAAACTCTCTCTTTTTTTAAAAAAAAATCACTTAATTCTTATTTATTAATTTATTTTTTAATTTGATCAGAGAGAGAGAGAAAGTGACAAAGCAAGCCACCAGGTCCGGGAATTAAACCATGGCCCACCATGTGGGAGTGTCCAGCGCTTTCACCACCACGCCATTTACTGGTCCCTTGAACAAACTCTCGTCTTTGTGTTTTTGTTGCGTCTTGACAGCTCTCAACACATAGCAGCTGCAAGTCAATAAATACTTGAATTTCTTTTTTTTTTTTTTTTTTTTTTAAGAATTATTTTGCATTTAACTTTATTTACTTATTAATTTATTTAAATTTGATCAGAGAGAGACAGAGTGAGAGAGAAAGAGGAAAGCGAGAAAGCAAGCCTACAGGTCAGTGACTCGAACCATGATTGGCCATTTGGTAGTCCAGTGCCCTTAACCATCACGCTACCTGCCGGCCCCAGCACTTGAATTCTTAACATTTACTGTTCACCCTCTTTAGAAAGTCTTTCATTATTAATGGCATGACAAGACTGCCATAGAAGGGTATGCATGCCTTTTATTTTAAGGGATGGATTTTTTTCAAAGCGTCTTTAGCTAATGGAGGTAATTAGAAGTTGATTAATACTATGATTGTGACTTTTAAAAAAATTTTATTATATTTTTATTTTTTAAATTAAATTTTATTTTTTTAATTAAAACAATTTTTTTCAGGAATTATTTTTATCCAACTTTATTTATTTTTATTATTATTATTATTTCCCAATTTGATCAGAGAGAGAGGGAGAGGGGAAAAGGGAGAAAGCAAGCCACCAGGTCCAGGATTTGAACTGTAGTCAGCCATATGGGAGTCCAGTGCCACCAACAACCATGCTACCTGACAGTCCCCGACTCGTAGTAAACGTAATGAATTTGATTATAACTTAAGGAGAAGCAAAAAAAAAAAAAAAGTACTTACGTTTTTATCTCTGGTATTGTAAGAAAACACTTGAGCTGGTGATTAGGGGAATGGCACAGTGTTAAGCCTGTTTTATATATTATATTTTGAGTCTTCATTGGGTTCATGAATATAACTATATTGTAAATTGCACCATAGCAGCATTCAGACAATAATCTTCATATTCTAACATTCTAATTTTGGGAATTGTAACTATTTCAGTAGAGAGATGCAGTAACTAAAAAGGAAATAGTAATATGAAGATTGAGGTTTAAATTTTAGGTTTTTTTGTTTGCTTGTTTGTTTTTAATTAAAAAAATTTGGTGGAGTGGGACCAGCAGTTGGCGTAATGGCTAGGTAGCTGGACTCCCATATAGTCGACCGTAGTTCAAGTCCTGGGCCCGGTGGCTTAAACTCACGCCTGGCGCGTGTATGTGCGTGCATGCCCAAGGTCCCGAGAGGAGAATGGAGGAGAAGGGATTGCGGTATGGCCATCCCCCCTGGGGGGTGATTTCTCACTTTCTGTCTCTCTGTCTCTCTCTGTCTATCTGGCGAGCGCACGCGCCCTATAGCAAAAACCTCTCCAAAAAAAAAAAGAACTAAGTCTGATAATGTCAACAAATGAGAATCTGGCTTCCAGAAGTATTCTTATGGTAGTCTTAAAACATTTTTAAAAATATTTTCACTTTTTCATCTTTATGTATTTGCTTAGAGTATATCAGAATAGAATGTGAAATGTTTTCGATATTTTAAAAGGTCTCTCAGTCCCAACTGTTCCTGGAGCTCTTGGTCCTCTTGCAATCACCTCCTCTGCTGTCACTGGAAGGATGGCCATTCCTGGAGCTAGTGGTATACCCGGAAATTCTGTTCTACTTGTCACCAATCTCAATCCTGATGTGAGTTGAAAAGTTATGTAAATAGTCTTTTAGGAAGAGAGGTAGTAGCCTCTGATCTAGGATTGTATTTAAATTAAAATGCTTAGGTTTTTTTTTTTTAAGTATTTTTATTAAAATTTAGCTATATATATATAAAGCATATGAAGCCATGCTTTAAGAAAATAGACTGTCACTAGTACACTATAGATAAGTTTATTTAAAATCTTTTTACCTGAATTGTTCAGTCAGATATTTATATTTTGTGTCATCTTTTTCAAACAGCTTATTACACCACATGGACTTTTTATCCTATTTGGTAAGTTCTTTTTTGCTGGTTTTAATATTAAGTGTAGGTGTGACTTGAGCACATTTCATTCATTTAGTAATATTTAGTGATCATTTCTATGTGTCACATGTGCTTGACACTGAGGATAGCACAGTGAGTGAAACTTACCCAGTAATTATAATAGAGTTATATTAGGGCAGATACAGGTTATAATGAAAACATAAAAGAGGCCTCACCTGGCTGAGGGAATCAGGAGAAATGATAGCTAAGCCAGCTTGTGAAAAATTGGTAAGAATTAGCCATTTAGAAAGGAAAGCAGACGTCTTTTCCCAGATACTGACATTGAGACGGGGATGAGAGCCTGCCATGTGGACGTGAAGGAAGCCCAGGGGAGAGTGTAAGCAGGAGACGTGCTGCAGCCGGGTAGTTGCATGCCTGTGATTGATTGAGCATGAGGGTTCAAGGGAAAGGAGAGGGTCTAACTATGACGACCAGGTGTCTTTCTGAATGAAGCCCCTCTGGATAATGGCACCTCTATCCAGAGTTGGTAGACACGGGAAAGGGGGGCGGAAGCAGTTTGGGACATAGTAAATTTGTCATATTTAGGGGATATCCAAGTGAAAATAAAGTGAGTAGGTAATAGATCTGGAACTTGGAAGAGATAAAAATTGGGGAGCATATGTATGAAATTAGTAAGGATATGTAGTATGAGGAAAGTTTGTTTAAATATTAATTATAATTAAAATTATATACTTCACAATCAGGTATTATTTGTTTTGTTTTGTTTTGAATTAGGAGTCTATGGTGACGTACATCGAGTGAAGATTATGTTTAATAAGAAAGAAAATGCCTTGGTTCAGATGGCAGATGCAAATCAAGCTCAGCTAGGTACTAATGATTAATAATAGTGATGATAAACCTGCCTGTTCTTTGTGAGTTTTTCTTCAAAATGATTGTATGTTGGTAGGAATATAATTTTATGAAGAATACCTGCTTGTGGTGATATCAGACTTCATTATTTGCAACTATTTTAAGTGTGAAATCTGTTTATATGCTTGAACATATATTGTTGGTGTTTGGAGCTTTTGTTCTCTCTCTCTCTCTCCCTCTCTTTTTTAATTCTAGATGGGTGCATGAGACAGAGAAAGCACCTCTCAACAGGGCCTAGTCACATCTCAATCTCTTTTCCTCGAATTCTCCATCCTGTCAGAATTCTGGGCACAAGCATGTATGCCCAGCATGTTTTTCAAGCTACCAGAACTCAGACTGAAACCTTGTGGGCTATGTCGGATGCAGTTTCTCATCTGTAGCATCTAACTGCTAGGATGTAGGGCTAGCTTAGTGTTTGAAACTTTGACCCTTGAGTTTTTCCATTAATTTTAAACAAATATCATTTATTTGTTTCATTTTATTTATTTATTTTTCCTTTCAAATTTAGGTTTTCTAGAACTGTTGAGTAAACATTTGGGCAAACTTCATAACAATAATGCAAGAAAGTGTTGTCTATGGCTTCACTGGTATAAAGACCATTAAAATGTTACTACTTAAGGGGCCTGCAGCGGCATGGTGGTTAAGGAGCTGAACTCCCACATGGCTGACTGCAGATGGAGTCTCAGACGTGGCAGCTTGAAAATCCTGCTGTGCCCAGCAGTCCCAGCAGGAGAATGAAGAAGACGTTGCAGCATGGCCATCTTCCCTGGGGGGGATGGTTGATCTCTCTCTCTCTCTCTCTTTCTCCCTCCCTCCTTCTCTTTCTTTATTTTGAGAGAGATTTTTGCTATAGGGTGCCTGCGCTAGCTGGAGAGACAGAGACAGAAAGTGAGAAATCACCCGCTAGGGGAAATGGCCAGGCTGCAACCCATTCTCCTCTGAGATTTTGGGGCATGCACACACATGTACCCAGCATGAGTTTAAGCCTCTGGGTCCGTGACTGGAACCATGGTTGACACGGAGTCCAGCGACCTAACCATTATGCCATCTGGTCCCAGCTGGGAGGTTATTTCTTATTTTTCCTCTCACTGTCTCTTGAGTCTTTTCAGCAAGGGCACACCCTATAGCAAAAAAAAAAAAAGTACTACTCAAATTTCTTTTAAAAATGCTTCTCTTGAGATAAAATGAATATATTCAGTTACCGTATGATGAACACTTGCTATGTTCCAGGCACTCTGGAACTTCATAACACTCGGCTTGGAAGATACTTTTTGAAGAAAATTTATTTCTTAATTTTTTATGTACATTAAATTGTTGTATATATTCATATATTCATGAGGTACCTGTTTTTTTTTGGAGAGGTTTTTCACTATAGGGCTCGTGCACTCGCTAGACAGACAGAGACAGAGAGACAGAAAGCGAGAAATCACCCCCCAGAGGGGATGGCCACACTGCAATCCCTTCTCCTCCATTCTCCTCTCGGGATCTTGGGCACACGCGCCTGGCGTGGGTTTTAAGCCACCGGGTCTGGGACGCAAACCGCGGTCAACTACATGGTAGCCCAGCGACATAGCCATTATACTGCCGGTTCCCATTCATAAGGTTTTTTGATACATATTTTTTGTGTGATTTGTTACTAGCTTTTGGGGTTCTTTTTTTTTTTTTTTTTTCTTAGATTTTTGCTATAGTGCATGTACCCTTGCCAGAGGGACAGAAAGGGAGAAATCACCCCCTGGGGGGTTGGCCATGCCACAATTTCTTCTCCTCCATTCTCCTCTTGGGATTTCGGGTACATGCCCAGCATGAGGTTTAAGCCATTCGATCTGGGACTCAAACTACAGTCAACTGCATGGAAGTCCAGCAATATAACCATTATGCCATCTGCTGGTCCCAGGCTTGTTTTTTATTGTTTTTTGTTTGTTTGTTTGTTTGTTTTAAGAGATTTTTGCTATAGGGCATGTGTGCTGGAAAGACAGAGATAGAAAGCGAGAAATTATCCTCAAGAGGAGTTGAGCGTGTATGCACATGTGCCCAGCAGCAGTTTCAAGCCTCTGGGTCCAGGACTCAAACCACAGTTGGACATCCAGTGATGTGACCATTAGCCACCTGCTGGTCCCCCCCCCCCTTTTTTTTTTTTTGCCTGGCAGGTGGCGTGGTGGTTAAAGGTGCTGGATTCCCACATGACCAACCATGGTTCAAGGCTGCTTGCTTTCTCACTTTCCCTTTCCCTCTCTGTTTGAATTTTTAAAAAATAATAACAAATGGAATTGAATAAATAAATCATTCTTTTAAAAAAATAAGATTATTCTTATTAAAAATGAAGTTACTTAATACATTTCTGTAAGAGTTTGGGATTTAAAACCCCTTTAACCTAACTCAAACAGACAATAAAACTTAAGTGACTTATAAAAATAACTTACAGTAATTGAACAAATACTACTCAAACTTTCCTTATTTTCTTCCTGTACCCTAGCAATGAACCATCTCAGTGGTCAGAGACTTTACGGAAAAATACTTCATGCTACACTGTCCAAACACCAAGCAGTTCAGCTTCCTCGAGAGGGACAAGAAGACCAAGGTCTGACTAAGGATTTCAGCAATAGTCCTTTGCATCACTTTAAAAAGCCTGGCTCTAAAAACTTCCAGAATATCTTTCCACCATCAGCCACTTTGCATCTTTCCAACATTCCGTATGTACCTAATAAGTTATTATTCATTTAGATAATTAATAATATACAATGCGTGATTTGGGAGAGTTGAAAACTCTAATTATTGTAATTTACCTGTTGTCTTGGTCCCCTATTGCTTGTAAGATCATTTCTTTGCCATTATGCCTTCAAAGCTATATCTCCAATCATACACTCCAAAACTGAATTATAACTTTCTGAGTTGGCCCCACTCTTTAGTAGTTAAGAGAGCCTGGATCTCATGTGTCTGATCATAGTTCTTATTTCAGCACCAGCTGCTTGAAAACATGCCACACATTTGTGCATGTTTGCCTCAAATCCTGAGGGTCTTGCTCTCTGACCTTGTGGTGCAGGCAGCCAAATTCCATATGGCCAAGTCTTGAACTCAGTGTCTTGAAGACACACACACACACACCAAAAAAAAACAAAAACAAAAACAAAAAAACCAGTCATGTGTGTATAGGTGCCCAAAATCCAGGAAGGAGAAAGAAATAGAGAAGTGATTGCAGCATGCCCATTCCCTGTGGGGATGCCTTCTTCTCTCTCTCTCTCTCTCTCTCTCTCTCTCACTCTCTCTGTCTCTATTGAGTGCATGTAGTCTGTAGCAAGTTTTAAAAATAATAAGTAATTCTTTTCGGCTTTTTTTGGAGAGGTTTTTGCTATAAGGGTGCATGATGCGCTCGACAGAGAGACAGAGAGACAGAAAGTGATAAATAACCCTCCAGGGAGATAGCCACACCACAATCTCTTCTCCATTCTCCTCTCAGGATCTTGGGCACGCACGCATATGTGCCCGGCTTGAGTTTAAGCCACTGGGTCTGGGACTTGAATTGTGGTCGACTACGTGGGAGTCCAGCGACATAGCCATTACGCTAACTGCTGGTCCCGGTCCCAGTAATTCTTTAAAAATGGCTTTTTTAAAAAAATTAATTTATTTTTTTTGATAGAGATTCGATTTCTGGATCCAGTGGCTTAAACTCAGGCTGAGCACGTGTGCATGCGTGCCCGAGATCCTTAGAGGAAAATGGAAGAGAAGGGATTGCGGTGTGGCTATCCCCCCTGGGGGGGTGATTTCTCGCTTTCTGTCTCTCTGTCTCTTTGGTGAGCGCATGTGCCATATAGTAAACACCCCCCCCCAAAAAAAAAAAGCATGCAAAATAGTTATGTTTTCCTCTTGTC